TTTTTATATATTAGGAAAGCTTAACTCTCTACCCCTATTCGTAAATCTTGGAGCTATCGTACCGGAAATTTTAGATATTCCTTTAGCTAATTTCCGTGAAATATACTTTCAGCTGGATGGGGCTACCCCTCACAACTTCAAAAATATTAGAATTTTGTTAAGAACCGATAAACCCATATGATGGCCTCCCCGAGTACCGGATTTATCAGTTCTCGATTTCTGATTTTGGGGATTTTTGAAATGTGAAATATATCGTGGCAACTACAACAGTGTCGAACACCTGAAAAATGCTTTAATAATGCAAGCTAATAATACATGCTTTTAGATATTTGCAAACCCATCCCGTTATAAAAAAAAAAGAAAAATATATTCACAGATTCAGTGGTAACAGTTCAAAAGTAAAATATATAATAAATATAAGAATACGATACTAATAATAGAAGATATGATACTATAAGATAGGGTTGCCAACTTTCAAAATAAAAAATAGAGGACAAGAGGGTAAAAAAGAGGCACAGGCCAAACTTTTTTGAAGCTTCGCCTAAATGTCTAGAATTTACCAAAAAGTTATGTAAACGGTATGCGATTGATGGTCTTTCTTACTTTCTTAAAAACATTTATACTAAAAACTGGTTAAAATAAAACAAACTAATTTCAACAAAACTTTTTTTTCAAATCACAAGCTAACAGTAAGTAGACATAAAACAGTTAAACATGTTTATTGCTTCCTAGAAATACCTATGTAATAGCCCGAAATATGCAAAAGAGGGAGTGAGTTTAGGTTAGATTAGAATTAGGTTTTAGTTGGTGTTTTGCATTAATAAAAATATAGGCCTAATCTAAACTTAACCTAAACTGACCTTTTTTGCATATTTCGGGCTCCTACGTGGGTAACCCTACGTTTAACCAATATTCGGGCTTTTACGGTAACATAATACTCATTCTGATTGGTTTAATCTGGCTCCAAACTGAAACTGTGGGTTGCAGGTGCTATTGAAAATTAATGCCATTAATTCTATGTATATACATACCTCACATTTCTATAGTGTAGTGACCGTGATTGTGACCATTCATGAATCCGCACACGTCCATCTCCATCATTAATATTTTTCTTACTAAATTCTTCACTTTTATAAAAAGCCATCACGATAAGAAGTCGGAGAGAGCCAAAATACGAAGTATTTATTATATAATCACTTTAATCTGACGCTAGATTTCATGCGCTTGGGAAAATACTTGCCTTCTGTCTTTATTCAGTACATCTTATTTTACGTTTCGTACACACGAAAATCGGCACCCAAAACCAGTAATGCCTACCCTAGTATTTGCGAATGGCGATTAGCGATACGTTAGACTGCCAGAATACTGACGTCACGAATGTCAAATTGCTTTCCAAACAAGGTTTAGTTCTTTTATATTTCTATTGAGCTCTTCCAAATGACGTCACAAGTTAATATAAAATGTAAAAAACAGGTGATTGCCGACCACCGCCGACTTTTGTGTCTGGTATTTTCAATACGCCTATGATGGTTGCGCATGTTGCAAAATCTGTGAATTTTTTTTAAATGGGATACCCTGTATATTATATTTTTGATTTTATTTGCCTTGTTATGAGCTTTCTAAAAATACAACATACTCAATACTTATTTTCATAAACAAGGCAAGAAATGTATTATTTAACTTTTTAACATAGGCGGCCGGTTTAAATTAGATAATCACAACAATTAACAATTACAAATTAAACAACACAATATCACAAACTTAATCACAAATTAAGAGTTATTTCAGAAATTTTCATACCTGTATAGAAAATGAACCTTGTTAAAATGTCAAAAATTAATCGTGCCGAGGCGACGGCCAATTGAAGTTTGCTATGAAGTGGCTATTGAAGTGGCAATTTTAGTTGGCCGTCGGTACGTGTTCTTTTTGTTTAAAACCAAAAAAAATCCCCCGTGTTTTTTTTGGGGCGCCGGAAATAAATTAAAAATTAAATTTATACCTACTTCGGCAGCGTATTCTACAGATAAAAATAAGTAAAAAAGTTCGTACAAATGTATGTTCTAAAATGCTTAGTTTCGAAGATACACGGTGTAGAAGTTTTATTTTTATTTCGATTTTTTCCAAATAATTTCTGAAGTAACGTCAATATTTGGATGAAAATTGGTATTTGGGACTTTTTGATATGAGAAATTTGATTTGTCAATATTACTTCTACTTGTAGAGGGCGCCACCTACATATTTTTTAAATAATTTAAAGACTAATAACTTTTCATCCGTACCTGTATAAAACTACTAAGTGAAAAAATATACATTTACGACGTTTTTTACGTAAAAAAGGTCTTTTGGTAAAAATCGCTACTGGCAACCGTTCTCAAGATATTTATAATAAAAACAAAATATTGCCAAAAAATAAACATATTGAGGAGATAGTTAACTGAAATGATATAATTGGGAACTTTAATTTATATTTTTAAATTAATCATAAATTTTTCTTCAAAAAAAATATTGTTGCGGACCGGTGTGGACTCGACCTAACCTAACAATATGGCCCGCCCTCGGATGACCTTAACATTGCATAGACACCGCAATGCTTCATTCGAAGATTCGAGAAGGATCGAGTCCCACTGGAATGGAGTAGTACATACGAGAACATTCGAAAACCTTCTCTATTCACCTAACGATCTATGGACTATTCTAGTAAACTTTAACTGTAGGTATAAAAGCCGGCGGCTGTGGCCTAGAGAGGGCAGTTATAAATATACAAGTGCAGTTGACGCGCTAAAATTCAAAATAAATTCTTAGTTATAAATCGTTTGTAAATAGTTCTATAAGTCTTTTATCGTTATTGTTTTTGTTAATTAGTGTTAAATAAATAGTGTTT